TATATATACAGTATATACTAGGACTAGTGAGAGCCACTGTCCAGGATGAAACATCCAAGATCCATAAATACATCAAGGACAAAGCCTCAACGACGATGTGCTCAGCGAATGTCTCAGGCAATGGGGAACAGAAGACGAGGTGCTYGAGGTACCATCATGGGAGGACAAGCCCCATGCAGATAGAGYACAAAACATAAATACAGAGTCTAAAAGTGAAGCAGAAAGCTCAGTGTCCGCCCCCTTTAGAAGATCAGACCCAGTCCCACCCCCCGACCCGGTTTCAGTCAGTGGGATCTCACTGGAGTAGAGCAGAACTCCCACACTCAACAATTGATTGCAAAACTCTGGAGCTGAATCAGCACTCATATCTTTGTGTTTTTTATTTCACTTTTAACAAAGAAAAAGGCAGACGCTGGGTCGGTGGAGTTTAGGTGGATTCTGTCATCATGTCAGGTAAAAATTTACACAACAGCTTTGAGTACAGTGTGTTCTTTTTTCTGTTAGTTTAAAGAGTGAGGCAATCCAGATGTTGTCTGATTGAGGAACACAATGTGTTCACATAGCAGCTTGTGTAGGAGGAGCTTCATCTTTTATTGAAATAAAACTCATAAAGAGGGTTTTGAGTTCTTATATAATCACAGATGTTAGATGAGAGAGGAGTCAGATTGATTCTGTGTTAACAGAAACAACTCACAATTACTGAAAGTATTTTTTATACAGCATGGAGCATTTCAGAATAAACATTAGGCTACTAGAATTTAGTTGAAAAATAAAGTGACTAACATTCCTTAGATTAATGTGTTTGGCTCAAGCAGGGGTGGATCCAGGATCCAGAGGGGTCGGCCACCCCAGGTGCCACCCCCAAATAAGTGACATATCTTGGATTTTGCATTTGCATTTAAATTTAGGTAATGATTGCTCTCTGATACAACTGTTCTATTTAAAATTTCAGCTGTGCACAGTATGTTTAAAAATGGCTGACTTATAACCATTTGTAAAATTAGCATTAGCTTGACATTTGATCATTCTTAGATACTCCACAACAGTTTTCATCTCTAAGTCTTAAAATGCCTTTTAAAGTTAGCTGTGATGATTTTAATTTTGGGTTAGCATTTAGATTTTGATTAAGATTGTTTTCAGCTACTTCTACACTGATCTTCAGCTTTGTATGTTTAAAAATGGCTGAACAATAACTTGGGACCAGAATACAACATGTTTCTTTTGGATCACTCTATGATCACACCTTCTTGCCTCTCAGCAAGAAGGTCACTGGTTCAAATCCCCGTCCGGGGACCTTTCTGGGTAGAGTTTGCATGTTCTCTCCGTGCATGCGTGGGTTCTCTCCAGGTACTCCTGCTTCCTCCCACAGACCAAAAACATGACTGTTAGGTTAACTGATAACTCTAGTTGTCCCTAGGTGTGAGTGAGAGAGTGAATGGTTGTTTGTCTCGTTTGTCTCTATGTGTGTCCCTGTGATGGACTGGAGACCTGTCCAGGGTGCACCCCGCCCCTCGCACTGTGACTGCTGGATATGGGCACCAGTGACCCTGAGAGGAAGAAGCAGGGATAGATATAAAAAGGTTATCAAACAATGAGATGATGTGCTGAATCAGTGAAATTTAAAAATTATACGGTGTATACAAGTTGTCCATAATGTAGTTAGTACTTGTTCTTTCATGTTACAGAGAATAAATTGGAAGTTGATGGTTGACATTTTAAACATTTATCATAACTGTAGTAAATGAAACTGACTATATTGCAGATTTTTGCCATGAATGAGCTACTATTATATTTACAATCACAATTTTGATCAAAATTTTTTACGGTGCACTGTTACTGACCACTAAAAAACGATAATTTTGATTAAGTTCTGCCTTTTAGAAACATCATTCATTACAGACATGTGTCAATTCTTTTGACCTGATATGATAATGCAATATGTATGTTTCTATCAAATCAAAATAAAGTTTGTCAATATCAAACTGAGATTTACTGATGTGCTGACCTAAATTTAACTTGTCATGTTGCCACATTCAGCTTTAACAGCTAACAGTTCTGTCTGTGATTATTGTTCCTCATGTAATGTTCATGGAGCTCTGGAGAGCTTTCTCAGCACATACAGTCTCACAAGGARCCACAAGCTCACCAGTACTTAATTTCTGCTGATGCTACATTTCTCCTTCCCCAAATTCWGACCGAAACCAGGCTTTTCCTGTATGATGCAGAGTTCTCGCCCTGCACAAGATGGCTGCTCACTCCGAAAACTCACATGATAGCGCCTCTAATCTACCTCAATGAGCAAAACACTAAAAACAAACAAACAAAAAAATGTAGCTACAAAAGCAACACACTAGTTAAAAGTAACAAAATTCTTGCTAAAAGAAAGGTAGTGAAACAAAAACTTAACATTGCAAAATGTATTTAGCAAAATATTAGCTTTTAACTAAAATTGGAATTAGTAGATAGCATTAGTAACATTTGCATTAACTGAAGCAAATTATAGCTACCATATGTACATGAGGTTATATAGACACTGTAGCAAAAAAATTAAATACCCTAGGAACAGCTACTGTGCAAAGCCCTTAAAGGGCAATATTATGTGTTTCTCAGGCATARATTTAAATACTATACCATAATAAAGTATCTATGTCACCTTTAGTTGTTATTAAAATGCTGTTTTTATGTTTAAATAGAAAATAAACTTATCTTCTCATCACTTCCTCTTCTAAACGCCTTGAAATTGGCCTCTGTCTCTCTAAGAACCACCTTCAGCTTCTGTCCCACCCATTTCAGTGTGGGGGTGGGGGGCGGGGGTTTCACGCGTGCTCTATGATGCAGTTTACTTGGCATCTGAAAATACATTTCCTCAAAGGTATTTTGAATCTGAAAAGAGCTTCACTGAGTGAGAAGTAGTGGAGCTCAGCAGACAGTTTAAGTTTCACTTTCACTCATTTGCTCTGTTACTGCCGAGAGCCTGCAGGAGTCATGGGCAGGGTGTGTGGGGTGGGGAGGTGTGCTCCGTGATGAGGAAGTTCGGCTTGAAGACACGTCCCAGGGGAGTTTCTGGTCCCAAAAGGCATTTCTGGTCCCCACCTGTTGTTTTGCTCCTCAGCATGGCTTCCTAAAAACACTGCAGGATTTCTTAAACATACATGAATGAGTCAAAGCAAGGCTTTGGGRATGTTTTTATGAGAGTATAACATTTTAACATGATATAAAACTCAAAAAAGTTGATTTTACATGATATTGCCCCTTTAAGCTCCCAGATCTCTGAGGACGGGTCCATATGACCCCACTCATGTTTAGTGTGGCGGTGGGGTTCTCCTGACCCCCACCTGATTAAGTGGTGGTTGAGGGGACAAATGGGGGTTAGGGTGGGGTCYTTAGGTGGTGTTTGTGGGTGGACTGGCTGGCTCCCCAAGACAGTCATGACTTTAACTTGCTAGCTTTGGTAGCACACAGCAAGGACAGCGGGAGGGTAGTAATGGAAGAATAAGTTTATATATATTTGATATATGTTTACACTAAATTTTTTATYAATATCTGTGAAAAATTGAGTTAAAATCATTTTTATCTCGGTAACTTAGATGTAGTGACCATCTTGAATCYGGTGGTGTTCAACAGTTATTCAGTTATTGATGTGCTTCTAGTGATTACTTTTTGTCCAGTGGATCATAACATTTATCCCTAACAGTACAACCAAGCACACAWAGATAGGTAAAAACATAATCTTCTTTATCAGCAAGTAATAAATATTTATAACTTCTCCACAGACATAACTGCAAAATGGTCATAAAGTTAATTCTCTTGTTGGTTACCATGCAGCTGTTGTGTTTTCCAGATGAAGAATTTGTTGTGGAGGGACTCAGCCCATCTCAGAGTCCACTGGTTTCAGTCACCTTTCAGAGAAACCAGCACAGGAAAGAAAAGTACCTGGAAGCTGAACCCAAAGCTCTCGGGGTATGATGTGTGTGTGTTTACATCTTTTCTGACTCTTCCAGTCCATGTTAAAATCAAGGTGTCTTCTTGTTTTTCAGATAACTCAGATTGGCCTGAGTTTGTTTATGATGATCGGTGTGAGCGTGTTTCAGGCGAAGGGTCTGAGTGAACTACCACTTGACATACCTTTGATCATTTTATCTTTGCTGGTGAGCTCGCGCACATTTTCACACTACACTTCATTAGTGCTAAACACTTAACTGGGATTTGCTGAAGAAGCTCAAACTAAGTTGTTTAGCCTAAAACAGAACACTTGCAAAAATATATGCAAGCTAAACAGTAGCTAAAAATAGTCAAATGGTAGTTAGAAGCTAAAAGTAGTATCAGGCTTGCTAAAAATAACAGAAGGCCAGCTAAAATCTAGCAAATGATCAACTAAATTGTTGACGTTGCAAAAGGCTAGAAGTTATAAAAAATAGCAAAAGTTTAGAGAAAAGAAGCAAATATTGACTAAAAGCTATAATAGTAAAAAGCTACCTGAAAGTATCAAAAGGTGGGTTAGAAGCTAAATGTGGCAAAAGGCTGGCTAAAAGCTGAAAGTAGCAAAAAGCTAGATGATAGAAATAACTGAACATTAACTGTGAACTAAAAGCTCCTTTACTTCAAAGCTCAGAAGCTAAAAACAATTCAAGTACAAGTTAGAAAGTCACATGATGCTAACTGAAGCTAAAAATTTCCAAAGAAGCTAGACACTAAAAGTTGCATAATCCTAAATAAAACTTTTAAAAGGCAATCTAAAAGTTAAAAGTAGCTTGCCAAAAGCTAAATTGTAATAAAAGAAGACAAAATAGTAGTGAAGTAAAGTAAGGTTTAAAAGAGAARTGTTTTTGAAGAAGTTTATTTAGATGGAATTACATCATTACAAAAACAAAAAGTAGTGCATCAGTTTGAATGTTTTCTACATGAATGACTAAAATAACCAAAAGTATGCAGAAATATTTWGACTACAAAAATGTACTGAAAGTCCAGGAAACAACAGTGTGAAGCTGGACAGTGTGCAGCTGGTTAGTTTCTATGGTATGAAGGTCTGAACATCAGACTCATCCCAATAGCTTCATACTCAACTCTGTCGTCAGAAGTAGAGTTGAGTTCATAGGAGAGCTTAGTGATTTAAAGCAGTGCAGCTTTTCTACTATTTACAGTCATTTYTTGTAGCAGTTCCTGCTTGTCACTGCACAGTTAGTAAAATAARGTGTTGGCTGCATTCCATTTGCTTTTAAGTTGTGATAACATTAAACACAGATTTATGCTTTTTTGTTTTTGAGTTGGAAAACCTGAAGGGTTTTACTTGACAAGACCAAGTTAGCCATGAGAAGCCATGCATACAGTGAGCTGAAATACACTCACTGGCCACTTTATTAGGTACACCTTACTAGTACCGGGTGACCATGTCCATCCACAGTGTACCKATCTTCTGATGGCTACTTCTAGCAGGATAACACACCATGTCATAAAGTGCAAATCATGTCAGAGTGGTTTCTTGAACATGACAATTAAAGTAGTTCTGAAGGCAAAAGGGGGTCCACCCTTTTGCCCTCAGAACTGCCTTAATCCTTTGTGGCATTGATTCAAAAAGGTACTGGAAACATTCCTCAGAGAGTCTGGTCCATATTGACATGATGGCATCACACAGTTACTGCAGATTTGTTGGCTGCACATCCATGATGAGAATCTCCTGCTCCACCACATCACAAAGGTGCTCTATTGGATTGGAATCTGGTGACTGTGGYGGCCATTCAAGGCCATTGTCGTGTTCAAGAAGCTAATCTGACATGATTCATGCTCTATAACATGGCACATTATCCTGCTAGAAGTAGCCATCAGAAGATGGGTACACTGTGGATGGATATGGTCTGCAACAATACTCAGGTAGGCTGTGGAGTTGACACAATGCTCAGTTGGCACTAATGGGCCCAAAGTGTGCCAGGAAAATATCCCCCACACCATTACACCACCACCAGCAGCCTGAACCATTGATACAAGGCAGGATGGATCCATGCTTTCATGTTGTTGACGCCAAATTCTGACCCTACCATCTGAATGTTGCAGCAGAAATTGAGATTCATCAGACCAGGCAACGTTTTTCCAATCTTCTATTGTCCTGGTGAGCCTGTGTGAATTGTAGCCTCAGTTTCCTGTTCTTAGCTGAKAGGAGTGGCACCCGATGTGGTCTTCTGCTGCTGTAGCCCATCCTCCTCAAGGTTTGATGTGTTGTGTGTTCAGAGATGCTCTTCTGCATGCCTCGGTTGTAATGAGCGGTTATTTGAGTTACTGTTGCTGTTCTATCAGCTCGAACCCCTCAGCTCGAACCCCTCTGACCTCTGGCATCAACAAGGCATTTGTACCCACAAAACTGCAGCTCACCGGATATTTTCTGTTTTTCAGACCATTCTCTGTCAACCCTAGATATYGTTGTGCGTGAAAATCCCAGTAGATCAGCAGTTTCTGAAATACTCAGACCAGCCCTTCTGGCACCAACAACCATGCCACGTTCAAAGGCACTCAAATCACCTTTCTTCRCCATACTGATGCTCGGTTTGAACTGCAGGAGATTGTCTTGACCATGTCTACATGCCTAAATGCACTGAGTTGCCGCCATGTGATTGGTTGATTTGACATTTAGGTCAATGAGCAGTTGGACAGGTGTACCTAATGAAGTGGCCAATAAGTGTATATAGACTCTGCATTTTATTTCAAGACCAGTCAAGACCATAACTATGGAAATATAATTAAATTGCCAGAATATTGTCCAATTTATTTGCTACCATTTTTGCTTTCGTTGTATGTAAAACATTCTGATTCAAATTTGAATTCAAACCTTGCTATTGCTATTTGATTTATTTTTGTTGCTGCTCTCATCAACCCCTACTCCCTTTCATTCCAAGAAAGTGAGCAGTGGTTGTCTGGAGGAGAATTCAATTCAAAAATACTTTCTTGATCCCGGAGGGAAATTAGGTGTTGGAACTCATTTAAATAACTCTTTGTGTTTTCAGTATGCTGAGCCCAAACAAAGGCATACTTTACCAAGAGTCCTATACAAAGTATGTTCTAGTGACAGAACATCTGAAACTGACACAGTCTAAAACCAAAACTTTAAATCATTTCAATCAATCAGCTGTAGATGTACTTACAGAAATTATTTTCTGAAYCATTCATTGAAATTCCTGAATGATTCATGATATTTTGCTAACAGACTGTGTTGATGATACCAGTTACACACAAGTTTTAAACAAAGATGTCAAGCGATGTGTTCTGAGGATATACTCTATGCTGACAATAATTCAGCGGCTAACACAATAAATTTTAGCTCAAAATCATTTTTTAAAACTGAGTTCTAGCTTTTTTGTATTGAATGAAGCTGAATATAAAAAAATAACTAGATACCGCATAGCGGAAACATAATGACCCCCACATGCACAAATGCACCAGAACTCAGAAGACTTTATTCCTAATAAATGTCATGCTACTAGGTCAGTGGTCTGCAACCTGCYGCTCTGGGGCCACATGTGGCTCTTTGGTCCCTCTGCAGTGGCTTATTGAAAATGTGACAAAATATAACAGATGTTTTATGTACTCACAACAGAAATAAACTGTATGCAAATATGTGATGAATACTACTAACACAAAAAGTAAAACCTGTTGTTTAGCTCATGCTAGTCTGTTGTCTACCTAAATATTCTAACTTCTTTCCATGATCTTTCTCTCAAATTGATCAGGATTATCTTTAAACACCTTTAAGACTACATAATAATAAGAATGAGAAAATAAAATGTCTGAATAGTTCTGTTGTACTAGTTTTTATGAAGTTCAGTATAAACAATTTGTGATATTTAATATCGAAATGAGGATTAAGTCAAATTTGGTCAAAATGACCTAATTACATTTTCAGATTCCTGGCTTTAAAAGCTACGTTTTGATACCTGGATCATTCTGATGTGATAATTAAATCCATATATATGACTTAATTTGTCTTGTCGGTTACAATAATAC